ACTGCAGTTGATATCACCGAGTAAATATAATTCCTTATTTTCCGCGTCAATTTTAGCAATAACATTCTCAAATTCGCTAAATAAATTGGGTGGAGAACTTGGGGGTCAATACCAAGTACCGACCAGAAATGGTATACTTAGTGGCTTACTGATTTCAACGAAAAGACACTCTAAAAGATCATTATTTAAATCATTGCGTATTCGATAATTCAGATTAGTGCGAAAGTATGTACATACTCCACCTCCCTGAAGTGGGAGTTAGACTATTCAACGATGCTCCTAATTATGGGGTAAAGTACTCTGTGTTTATTGGAGATGATGACAGTTCCACAATTGCTAAAATTCATGAAGAAGTGGGTTATAATGTGGAAAAATGGTCTGACAGCAGTCATGCAACAACAACACTTGTAAGCCACCTCCACAAGATCAAGTCTGAGAAAAACAATTTACCTGGAGAATCTGTTTTGTCACAGAAAGTTATAGATTATTTTCAGAAATGTTTTAGCAATTGTTTAACCCAAAACAAAGGGGATCCAGAAAAAAATGAGAAAGTCATTAATTGCTATTGTGCCTCATGCATTTGGAGAACACAAAACATGTGAAGAAAACAGGTTGAGCTGGTGCAGCTGGCTCCAAAATCCAGACACTTAGGCCTACTCTGGGACCTTAACTCGCCGCGAGATTGTGCGAGCTAATGCGAGTTTAGGCGAGTTAAGGCGAGATAAGGAAAAATTGAGCTCACCTATCAGTTGCGAGTTAAGGCGAGATAAGGCGAGTCAAGGCGAGTTAAGGGAAAATGGTCAACCTAATGTTGAGGTGATAAGGGTTAACACATATATCATGCTTTAGTAACATACATATAAAGATGCCTTGTGCCTTGCAATCTTTGTATGTCTTATGTATATATACCTAACAGTCTCCATGTTGCCCAATTACAAAAAAAAATTCAACAAAAAATTTTAGATGAGTTCCAAAGTTGACTGAAGCCAAATCTTATTTAAAGTTAGTACCGGTAATTGAACATTTTTTCCTAATTGGGCGAGTGGAGTATGGAGTCCTTGCCCTGGTTGTTCAAGCGTTGGATCGCACTATTCAACAAAATGATAAATCACTATACAGCGGATAAGTACTTGGAAAACTAATTGCACTATCCACTGGATAGAGATTGATCCGTTGGATAGCACTATCCAGCCTTTGAATAACCAAGGCCTGGTTTTTATTAATTATTATATAGCATTCAGATACCAAATTATACCATTTGGTGGCTGTATAATACTATTATTACTAATAAAAGTAGTCATCATCATATATTATTTATTAGTATATACACACTCAGTGATCTTGGTGATTTAAGCAATCTGATTGGTTCGCTATCTCGGACTATTCAACAATATTCACCTCCTAGCGAGTGGATGTGTGAGCTCAGTGTTTTTCCCATTTTTTAGAGAACGATCTTTTAAAAGTCGACAGAATCCTAGGGCTGACTTTTTTTAAGGCAAGAAAAGACTTGGAAGGATTCAATACGGCGTTTTTCAATTTACTGTAGCACTCAGTAGTAGCAGGAGTTTTGTGCTCGATGGATTGTTTACAACTCCCGTGTATTCGCGTAGAAGAAGCCGTTTCCGTTTCCTAAGAAGACAATTTTGGCTCAAAAATCGAAGTTTATTTATGAAAAACAAATTTAAAAGGAAATGTTTGCTGAAATTCTACGTTTCAAGTAAACAGGAAAAAGAATGATACAGAAAGACGACGTCTTACCTCGAGCAAATGAGCCGCCATTTTTTGTCAGCACTTCATGCGAAGAACGACACAACAAACCCTTTTGGCTATAAACGTGGCAAGTCAACAGAAAACAACACAGCTCTACTTTTCTTCTCAGGTAAGGAAACAGTTCAAACTTTTAGCGGTTCCATTTAAGCCATTACGCTGTTGTTTGCGAAATGATAAACTTGTGAATTGCCATGTTTGAAATTTCTGCAAAGATCTATTTTTAAACTTACGCGTGATTTGATCTGTCAATCAAATCGTACTTTTGAATGGTTTCCTCTCTGATTTTGTTGAGATCACTTCATGTGTATATACTAAAACAATTATTCTTTTCAATCTCGGTGAATAGTGGCTTTGGGAATATTTACCTCGCCGCTTTCGCGTCTCGGTAAATATTTTGCCACTATTCACCTCGATTTCAAAGAATAATTGTTAATTATAGCTGCATAAATATTTGGCAGAAGGCAGAATAATAAATTAGTGAAAAGAGAAACTAATGTAAACAAAACAATCATGAATAGATGAGAAAATGTAATTGTAGTACAAACACAGATGGGATATTTAATTTTACTTATTTTTTTAATTCAATAACACTATGTTTTAATCAGACAGGTTAACATAATAGGTATCACATGATGGCATGAATTGTTATCATTAACTCCAGAATTATAAAAGAATAATGTTTTTTACAGTCTGAGTCAATGTTCTTCAAAGAACTAGTATAAAAAAACGG